AAGAGGGAGCCTAGTTCCAGAGGGTGTGGGGGAAGGTAGAATCTCCACTGAGTGGTTTCCATCCTGTCTGGACAGAGCTGATGAAAGGAGATGGGGATAAGACTCTTGTGGTTCAATAGTGAATAATTGCTATCAGGACTGACTGAGTGTTGGAAATGTAAAGATAGACTTTTTGTAACAAAAGGAGGGGAGTGGTTGATTTTGCATTCCAGGAGCAGAGGTCTTTGGAAGAATTGCCAAGTGCAGGACCCTATCCAGAAAAGCAGTGCTGCCAGAGATGGAGGCAGAGACGAAGATGTGGAGAGATGGAGTAGCTGGGGACTCGGGACTCAGGGAGGAAGATAGGCTGTGTGCTAACTGCCAGGGGGCAGGTTTGCGGGGTGTACCCTTTAGTTGGTTGATGATGCATGGAGGGGATTGTCATCATTGCAATGAAACTAAATACGATAGGATGAATGTAAAGCTAATGTTGTCCCATGTAAACCATCACTTAATTCACAATAAAAACTAAAAAAAAAAAAAAAAGTTACTGAGTACGTATTATGTTTCAGGCATTGTTCCAGACACTGGCAGTGAACTTATAAGAGAAAGTTCATACATTCATGCATCTTATATTCTATTGGGTACATTCTATTGTGTACATTTAAGATCTTAACAGCCTTGGCCAAGCACAAACGTGGCAATGGTCACAGAGGAGCATGCTAAACTGAGGGGGAAAGAATGTGCTGCAGTGTAATTTAGGGGCATGGTACCTTGAATTTACTTGATATGGCTTTTCTATCCAAAGTCTTCTGAATTTCCAACAAGCGATTGGGTGGGACCGTGCAAATAAGGTAAACAGGACTCTAATGCTGGGATTGGTTAGTTTTGCCCTCCAGCTAGGCTTAAAATGAGCCATCTCAAGAAGGAAGAGCATGAGTGACATCCTTACCTAGAGAAACAGCGATGACAGATGTGATGGCAATGAGAGACAGAGCAGTTTCAAGCTCTAGGCCTATGGGCTGAGTATATCTGAGTACCTATGGGTAGGAGACTGGCGTGGGCATTCACAGACTGGCTAAATGAGCTTTGTATCACTTGCCTGAGCAGGGCAGAGGCCCAGGGACCACATGGCTGAGAGGCTGAAGACGAGAGCGAGGCATGCCTGCAGTATTGCAGACAAGAGGCATTCCTGACTGGAAAACTGCTGTTCCTTAGTTGGTTTTGATCTTGAATTGTACTGTGTTCACGTCTCTAATCAACCCCATAATCATGAGTATTGTTATGAGCTCTGTGTGGCCACTGCAGTGGATTATTGAACCCAGATGTGAAGCAGAAAGTACTGTGGGAGGGATGATTGGTGTCAGAATAGGGTAAAGAAGGTTGTAGGGTAGAGGCATGTCTTACTTCCACTTCATAGGAAATAGTCTTGGGCTGATTTTGAGTTTGATTCTCTTCCCCCCTTGTGAAGCCAGGGAAAGTCAGACATGGTCCCCAAGTGGTCATTGCAGTTGGGGCAGTCAGACATGGCTCCCACATGACTTTTGCAAGGGGGTTCTCAGTTGGTAATTTAAAACAAATCATTGGTGGTGTGGGAATAAATAAATAGGAGTGGTAAATATTAATTCCTGGAAGAACTTGAGATTTACAGGACAATTAGTCCCTCTCTACCTATAGTCACTAATTAGTATGCATCACTCATGCAGGATGCATTGCAGGCTGTTCTATAATGCAGTCATTTACATAACTGGTCATTTACTCCCCAAGTAAATTTTCAAACACTGGGTTATATTCATTCTTGTATTTTCCATAGCTCCTAGCATGGTGTCTTGTGTGGAGAAAAAACAAAAACAATAAACAAACTCTGAGAAAATATTAATCTGAATACATGGTTCTTAAGTTATCAGCACTGTGCCTTTATGTTTCTGTAGTTGTTGTTACGTGCCATTGAGTTGGTTCAGACCCATAGCGGGCCCATAGGGTTTCTGAGGAGTGGTTGGTGAGCTTGAACCACTGACCTTGCAGTTCAAATCAACCTTGCAGTTCAGTGCATTAATCCATAGTGCCACACCAGGACTCCAAGCCTTTATGTTGTTAAGTGCTGTCGAGTCGGTTCCGACCCATAGCGACCCTCTAAAGGGTTTCCAAGGAGTGACAGGTGAGCTTGAACCACCAACCTTGTAGTTCAAACCAACTTTGCAGTCTCGCGCATTAACCCACAGCACCACAGCCTTTATAGAAGACCCTAATAATTATTAACATGACAAATGTATAGCATTGGCAATACACATCTCACCAAGCAGCCTACAGACTGCTTGATTTGTTGTCCAGGATGATTCTGGACAACATTATGCTGGGTGAAATAAGTCCATCTCAGAAGGACAAATATTATATGATAACCACTTTTACAGACAGTCAAGAATAGGTATACACACAGAAAGCAATGTTCTTTGATGATTATCTTGGATGGGAAGGGTAGGGAGAGAGACTCACTTACTAGATAGTTGTTGTTCAACTACCAGCTTTTCTGTGGGAGAAAGATGAGGCTTTCTGCTCCCGTAAAGATTTACAGCCTTGGAAACCCTGTACAGGGTCGCTATGAGTCAGAACTGACTCCACGGCACATAACCACCACCATGAATAATACTGTGTCGACGGCACTTAACAACAATAAATACTATAACAGTCATAAGAACCAAAATGTTGTGAGTGATTACATATGTTTTAGAGAGGTGGGGGGGGGCATATGTGAGCACATGCAGTACATCATTTTCATATATATATATAGGTACAGTTGTGGTCATCTGTATATATTTATATGTGCTGCATATATATTTGTTTATATGATGGAATACATAGGCGGCATATTTATGTAAACTTCCTAGGCATATCCAAATATCTCATGGAACTGAATTACTGGGCTTGAAGGTTCCAGAAAATAGTTTCAGGGGACATCTAAATCAATTGATATAATTTAGTTCATAAAAGAATGTTTTACATGCTAGTTTGGTGAGTAGCATCTGGGATCTTAAAAGTTTGCCAGTGGTCATCTAAATGGTCTCCTCCCATCTGGTGCAAAGAAGAGTGGAAGAAATTGAAGATTCAAGAAAACAGTCCACAGGACTAATGATCCACCTGAACCATAGCCTCATCTAGCCTGAGACTAGAAGAACTGGATGGTGCCTGGATACCACTATCAACCACTCTGACAAGGGACATGATAGAAGGTCCCAGTTAGAATGGGCTAAAAACGTAGAACATATATCAAATTCATAAAAAAAAGACTAGACTTACTAGACCGATAGAGACTGAACGAACCCCCGAGACTATCGATTGTTGTTGTTATGAGCCGTGGAGTCAGTTCTGACTCATTGCGACCCTGTACAGGGTTTCTGAGGCTATAAATCTTTATGGGAGCAGAAAGCCTCATCTTTCTCCTGCAGAACAGCTGGTAGTTTTGAACTGTTGACCTTAAGGTTCGCAGCCCAATTCATAACAACTACGCTACTAGAGCTCTATCTATCACCTTAAGACCCTTTTAATCTAGAACTGAAGCCACTCCTGGAGGTCATCTTTCAGTCAAATAACAGATTGGTCTATAAAATAAACCATAACACCCAGCCGATCTCCTCCCTCCCTGCCTTCCTCGGATGGCGGCTGTTTATGCTGGACGTGTGGCCAGAGACGGGTAAGGATCACGTGGAACCTCGGCAACTTAAGACAGAGCCATTGCCATGATGC